GTACCGCCGGCCTCCTCACTAGGGAGACCCCCAAGGGTGACTACTGGGCTCCCGCAAGCCCTCCACCAATGCCCCCTGTGTGACGACAGCCCATCCCAGCCACCCAAGCCTTGGGTCACCTGCCCCTTATTGGGGCATCTCAGCTAAGGCTCACACCTCACTCCAAACCACATCCTCCCCATCGATGAAACCAACAAACTAGTCCACAACCCCCACAGCCCAAAGGATCACCCTGATCCGTGGTTTCGACATCTGGTAACCCTCCTTCAGCACCTGGAATGGGCTGGGGTTGGGAAATGAGAGGGACTCGTGCAAGTTCTTCAGCAGTGTGGACAGCTGGGGACCCTGCTCCTGGGCAGACTGGAGTGGTGGGAGTTGGCCTCACTCCCTCAGCCTGCAAGGTGATGTCTCAAGGGAACCCCAAAGGATGGAGGAGGGCCGTAGCACATTCCCATGTACCCTGCCATCCCAGGTCCTTGGCCCTGATCAAATCCCAGGGGGTGCTGCCAGCTGTGAAAGCCGCCTGTCCTCACAGGTCAGACCAAGGAGTCTTGGTAGGCAAGCTAAACAGGCCTCTTGGGGGCAAGCTTAAGAGCACAGGTTGCCCCTGGGGCTGCTTCAAGTGGGGCTGCAGAGTAACCAGAACCTACCTCCGCCCCAGACTGGCATCAGCTGCCCTGACACAGTACAGGGCTCAGCCTTTGATCCCAGGTGCTGGGCCAGGGCCAAATTAGGTTATAGGCACCATTTCACATTCGAATTAGCCTCACGGGTGGGTGTGACCAAAGACAATTTCCATCCTCTCCTAAATTTAGTACATTTGTGGATACTAAATATGTATTTGTTAAATGGCATGATCTAGCTGGGTGTGGTGGTGCATGCCTGTGATCCCAGCACAAGGGAAGCTGAGACCAGAGGATACCAAGAGTTTGAGACCAGCCTGGGCTACATAGTGAGGACTTGTGTTGATAATACCGAAATAAATAGGGAAGGGTGAAGGGAGGGAAGGAGTATGGGAAAAAATAAGAACCAAGACATATGTGAAAGTACAAGATCCCAGTGATAAATGTAACTGTATTGTTTGCTTTAAATGTACCAATAAATTTAATGGGGGAAAAAAACCCAAAATATAATAATAGTAAATGGCATGATCTGTATGACACAGTACAGTAATAGATGGTCCCAGGTCTGGTCTATCCCTGGCTGTTTTCCATTTAGGTACTTTGAACTATCCAGCAGCTGAACATATGCCCACACAGCTTCTCAGACAAGATGGGACCAGTGAACTCTGGGGGAGAGGGTGGTGAAAGAGGAGAGGAGTGCTCGCTACATCCTCCAATGAGGGGGAGGCTTAATCTCTGAGACAAACAGGAGCTGGCTTCCTCCCTCCCCCACTCAGGCCTCCCAGGGCCTCAGGGTGAGTCCTCTTCCACTGCAGTGCCCCACCCCCTCGGGCAGAAGCCCAGGGACCAGGTCTGTCACCAGAGGTGTCATTTCCCAGCTATCTGGGGGAGGTAAGCAAGCAGGCAGTGTGTGCTGGGTGTGGGGGTTCAGCCTGATCTAAGATAAAATGCTCTCAGCTGCTTCCCCCTCCTAGGAGCAGTGGCCTCCCTGGTCCTGGCCTGCTGACACAAATGTCGGAGCTGGCTCAGCTTGTATGAAAAGGAAGAGCAGCTTCCATGGGGCGGGGGAGTCTTGGGTCACACTATAGGGAGCCAGCTCTTGCTTTTTGTCCCTGAAACCACTCTACTTTCTAATCAGAGAATAAAGATGCCAAATTCAGGCTTGTAAGTTCAAAAGAAAGCTGCAGTGTCTGGGTATAAGATAGAGTGGGAGGAGGTCGCTTGAACAGGCAGAGTCCCCCCATCTGCCCCAACACACTGCTCTAGCTGGAGGGAACCTAGCTGGGGGGAGCCAGGCAAGACTGCAGACTCTGCTTTAGGGCTGATCCCCATTTTTTCTGGCCAAATTCACAGAATGTGGGAGTGACAGAGCCTGAAATACATTTGAAGAGCTCAGGCCATTGGGTGTACCTTGGAAAGCTGGCACATTGCTTTTGCCAGTGAATCTTGCGGACAGCATCAGCACAGTAGAAATGAGGGCATAGAGGCACAGTGGAGGTGGGAACCCAGGAGGATCTGCTCAGAGAGGCCTCACACCTCAGAGCAGTTCCTCCCATCCCGACTGGCTGCCATGCTATGACACTCCAAATTTAGATCAATGGTGGAGGCGGGAGAGGAGGTGAGCTGTGATAACTGAGAATTCACCTGGAAATGAGTAAGAGAATGTTTTCTGAAAGCAGAACGAAGGCCCAAAATACTGGGGGAGCCAAAGTGTAGAAAAGTCATATATTGGTGTAACTGTGACAGTGGCTTCCACATGTAAGTGCTTAGGGATTGTGGTTGAACTTCTAGACCCCTCCCCCAAGGCCCAAGGTTCATTCCCAACCTGCACCTCCTGGGGTTCTGAGGCGATGACTAGAGAAGGCTGGCTTTGTCTTCCTCTCTCCAGACAACTGCTGCTTTACAAGTTAGAGCTGAAGGAAGCTGGGTCATTCTCCCACTGACTCATGGACTTGCTCCATCCTCATGAGTCAAACCTGATTGAACTAGTAATTAATTTCAAGGACCTTATGTATCCCTCACTGCAGCTTGTAAAGACCTTCTAATTACTAGGAGCAGATGAAGTGTGCCTGGATGGGGGCTGGGAAGTGAAGTCCACTGCCAGTAAAATCACCAGTTCAAATCTTGTGACCTCTGAGCAGCCCTGTGGTTGAAATGGGTGCTTCCTCAAGACAAGTCAAGCTTTGGGCTCCATGACAAAAGGGCCTCATGTGTGCCAAATGCTTTACCTGGATTGCCTGGAGTGCTCAATTTTTTTCTTTCTTTCTTTCTTCCTTTTTAATGTATGAGGGGGTCTCTTTCAGTTTTGGAGACTTTCCTCTAATATTTGCTAGTTCTTGGCTCTCTGTTCTATTTACTAAAGAGCCACCAAGAGGCCTAGGAGGGAGAGGGAGGGAAGGAGAGGGGGGAGGGAAGAAGCGAGAGAAAGGCAAAGGAACACTCGTTTTCTTTTGGCTTTTCTATGGGAAAGTGAAAACCATTTCTTGGGTGGCCACCTGAATGTCACGTAGTAACAGGCTTTCTCTGGGGACAAGCATCTATTTAGCTAAAAGTCTCTCTCTCTGTGTTTGTTTTGTTTTTGAGACAGGGTTTTACTATGTAGTTCAGGCTGCCTTGAACTCACTGTGTTCTAGGTTGGCCTTGAACTCACAGCCACCCTCCTGCCTCAGCCTCCCAAGTGCTGGGATTATAGGTATGCATGTGCCACCACACCCGGCTAGCTAGAAGTCTTACTACAATCCATTTTAACAATTTTCTCAAGAATGAGCTTTTATTTTTATTTATTTGGTACCAGGGATGGAACTCGGGACCTTACCCTCATGAGACAGGCAGCAGAACCACTGAGCTAAATCTCCGGCATAAGAATGAGCTTTTAGGTGTCCAATTTTCTTGCTGTTACAGCAAAGTGGGCAGTATATATCATGTACAGGTACGAATTCTCTATGATGATTGCTATCATTATGTATATCTAAAATGTGCCAATAAATGTTTTGCTTCAAAAAAATAAATGAGATAGGTATTATTTTGACTTTATATTTGGGGAAACCTAGGTTTAGACAGATGCCTGGAGGGGGCCTTGTTTTGTTTTGGTTAATAAACTTTTTCACATATAGAATGGTATTTTTTTCTTTTTGAAGTATTTTTAAACTTTTTCATAGCATGTTTGCAACATATTACATTCATCATGGGTATTGATACATGTACATAATTTGTTTGTTTGTTTGTTTGTTTTTTGAGACAGGATCTCAGTGCAGGCTGGCCTTGAACTCACTGTGCAGCCCAGGCTGGCCTCGAACTTATGGCAGTTGTGCCTCAGTCTTCTGAGTGCTGGGATTGCAGGTGTGCGTCACCACACCAGCCTGTAACACACCTTAATTCTTTGTATGTCCCCTTTCCCTGCCCTCTCTTCCCCTTCCCTTTATCTCTTGGTAACAAATCTTTTTGTACTAAAATATGACATACATAAAGCGGTATCTTTTTTTGGTACCAGAGATCGAACTCAGTATCTTGTGGTTGCCAGGCAGATGCAGCCCCCTCTGAGCTATATCCCCAGCCCACTGGTATCTTTTTAATATGTGTAGTTCTCTCTATGCAAGTGCAAAACCCATGCCAGGAATAAGGCAGGAAAACATATAACAAATGATGATGAATGATTGTCTCAGGGGTATTTCAAGAGAGAAAACAAAAAAAGCTCTTTAAAAAAAGCTGGGAGTGTAGCTCAGTGGTACCCCATTTGCCTAAGGCGTGAAGCCCTGGCTTTGACCAGCGCTATAAAAGAAACATTAAAATTTTAAAACAAGCTCTAAAATACATAACAGAACCTAGTAGGCAGACAGATTGTTACTGGTGTGGCTCTCAGTCACCTGCTCTGGGAGGGCAGTCCTGCTTGGACTGGTGAAGATTTGATCAATTGCTATGAGTTTGCGACCAAGTATTTAGCTCAGTGGTTCTGCCGCCTGCCTCATAAACACAAGGTCCGGAGTATGATCCCCGGGACAAAAAACAAAAAAAAAGCAAATTGCCGCGAGTTTGGATGGGGAGTCAGCTGTTGTCACTAGAGTAGGGCAGGCCTAGTGTGGGCAGTGATGTACCAATCCAGAGCCCTAGCATACACAGGATAAGACTGAGATGGGTCAGTCTTTTGGGACAGAGAGCCTGGGAGGTGTCATTGTCCCAAACCCTCACTTTCTAATCACCATTCATTAGAGATTCACACGACTTACAGCAAGCTTGTCTGATGGGAGGAGGAAATCCCCCTTCAAACAGTATGGCTGTCAAGAATCCAGGGCCAGACATTTAGCTCAGTGGTTCTGCTGCCTGCCATGCAAGCACAAGGACCCAAGTTTGATCCTCAGTACAAAAAGAAAAAAAAAAAAAAAAAAAAAAAAAAAAAAAAAAAAAAAAAAAAAAAAAAAAAAAAAAAAAGAATCCAGGGCAGGGGATTTAGCTTAGTGGCACTGTACCCACCTCACAAATGCAAGGTCCTGAGTTCCATCCCTGGTACTGAAAAACAAACAAAAAAAAGAATCCACACTTTAATTTCCCTCCACATGGTGTGCCATACCCAGAATGATACGTAGTACATGCTCAAAAAACACATGTTGAATTGAGTCAGCTGATTCGGCCTAGCAGCCAGGAGACTTGGGGTTCTAGTTCCAGTTCTTCCACTCTACATGGAGCTTTCTCCTTGGAGTTCATTTTCCTTATTTGTTGAATGAGTGATTTTTCACGGGGAGGGGAGAGTGCATGCTTATAATACCAGAACTGGGGCAGCAGAGGCAGGAGGACTGCCGTGAGTTGGAGGCTGGCCTGGGCTACATAGTGAGTTTGAGGCCTCCCCTCAAAAAAGAGGGTTTTTTCATTTTACAAAGCCAGGCAATGTGCTAGCTTCAGAAACTACAATAATACACAGGAAAAGAGATTGTTAAAACACAGTGTGTCCTTGCTATGATGAACTCAGTGATCAAGATTTAAACCAAAAAGGGGCCAGGGATTTAGCTCAGTGGTGTTGCCACCTGCCTTACAAGCGCAAGGACTAGAGTTCAACCCCCGGTACCAAAAAAAAAAAAGTTTTTAAACCAAAAAGGAGAATCCTCTGGTTCATGTAAGTAGAACAGAACTAAAAAGAGCAGGGTATAAGACCTCAGAGGATGTTCCTCAGCATCGCTTGCCTCTGCCTTAGCTTCATTTCTAGACAGGCAAAATGTGCAGCTACATGCTCACACCTGATAAAATGTTACAGTTTGTATATTTTTAAAATTTATATTCAAAATGCCAAAAATTCAAAAGAACATGTAAACTAGACACAACGGCACAGGCCTATAATACCAGCTAACTGTGAGGCTGAGGCAGGAACAGCCTGGGAAAATTTAGGAAGACCCTGGGTTCGAGCCCCAGCGGGGACACAGTTCAAAAGAGAAAGTCTCTCCCTCTGTATCCCAGCCACATCTTCTTCCTTACAGAATTCGACTCTCCCAGTTGCCTTCCGGAGATGTTCCTCGCATATACAAACAGTCATGTTTATAATTTTCCACTTTGCTTTTTCTTTTTTTCAATACTAGGAATTGAACACAGGGAGCAATGAACTACATCCCCAGGCCTTTTAAAAACATTTTTTTTTTGGTACCAGTGAATGAATTTAAGACCTTGCGCTTGCCAGTCAGGCACAGTGCTGCAGAGCTAAATCCCCCCCTCCTTTTAAAAATTTTCTTCATAGGCCTTTTTTACTTTATATAT